GCAGTCTGACACTCCAGTCTCTTCTTCCTCGTCTTACACCCCCCCTTCCTCCTCCTCCCTCCTCCTCCGATCCCCCCGGGCAGAAAGGCAGCTCAGCACCGGCAGCATCAAACCCGGCGACAGCGACGGCTGTTACCTGCAGCCCTCCAAGAAGAAGAGCATCACGGGCCCGCCGCCGAGCGGGAGGCCGGCGGCGGGCCGCGTGTGCGGCAGCAGCTCCACCTCCAACCTGATGGCCAAGAAGCGCGTTATCCGCATGCTCCTGGTCATCGTCTTCCTCTTCTTCCTGTGCTGGACCCCCGTCTTCGTGGTCAACGCGTGGCAGGCGTTCGACCGGCGCTCGGCCTACCGCCTGACCGGGGCGCCCATCTCCTACATCCACCTGCTGTCCTACACCTCGGCCTGCGTCAACCCCATCATTTACTGCTTCATGAACAAGCGCTTCCGGCAGGGCATGCTGGCCACGTTCACCTGCTGCAGCTGCTTGGGGAGGAGGAGGGGAGGCGGAGGCGGCGGTGCTAGGGGAGGGGGAGGCGGGGGAGGCCCTGAGAGGTCGCCCGGGATCGGGGAAGCCAAAGGGGAAGAGGGCCGAGCGGGGCCGGCGAGGGCGAAGGCCGGCGAGCAGAACGGTGGAGCCAGCACGCGCTCCAACTACACCGCCGTGCGCGCCACGGCCTGGAGCGAGCTGACCTGAGCTGGGTCGAGGCCTCCTGCACGAGGGGGAGGGAGGGGGGGGGGGTCTTGTGCACATCCAGATGTTTTTCTGAAGCTGGCTGGAGTCGTGGCGTGCGTGCGTGCGTGTGCGTGTTTGATCACGTTGAAGGGCCCAAAGTCTCACGTCCTAACGAAGCGCTTATGTGAGAATAGTAATTAATGTTGTTTACCGCTTTCTTTATTACACAGTTCATTCAAAACCACAGTGAGGGAAAAAAATGAATTACTTACCTGCTTCATCTACAGTGAAAAATATTATCAACTGAGAAATGAATCAATCCACAGCTCATCCTCATCAGCGGAGTTAGTCCGGTTGTCATGGAAACAGTTCAAACGTCAGGAATGACCTCGTGAATGAGGGTCCTCTGAAAAGAAATGTGAACTATCGTTAACTTGCAGATTTATTCGACAACATGTGATCCGTTTAAACGCTCTTTCCCAGCGATTAAAAAAATCCCCCCGGCCCGAGTCACGACGCATCCTCGCTTAAAAGTATTGAACACTTGGCATTAATTATGATCGATATACAGTGGTTACTGTGGTTACACAGGCTTTTACTTCTCACGTGTCGCTTTGCAACGCAAACAGCAGCATGAAAACAGGCTTTCAGCGCAGAAACAGTTCTGCTGTTGTCCTTGACCCGGAGTGTGTGTGTG